GGAAAGAGATGAGGGTTGGGATGGGTCTCCTGGATAGGATTTCAAGAGGACAGGATTAAGTGAAAAATTAGAAGCAGTTTCTTTAGGGTATTTTTACCAACAAAAATCCATTCAAGTATTATGGAACTACAGGGTTGGTCTTGATTGATAGGAATAAGAGAAACGTGTTTTTGTTTCTTCTTTCATGGCGAAGTTGACTATTGCATTTAGAATGACATCCCACCTTTGCAAGTCCTCAAGATATTTTTTGCTAAGAATTTTCAAAAGCTCAACTTGAGCTGATACTAAACTATTAACTCCATAAAGACATTAATAATATAGTCCAGATCTTAAATAATAGGTCAAGTGGCAAGACATCCAAAAATTTAAGATTTATCGAAAAGTCATTAAGCACAAGTTTATCAGAGTTATGTAAGAGTTTAACCTTACAAGAAATTTGTCTTCTTTCACTCAATAGTGGCTGTCCCCATCAGATTCTTATAAGATTTCATTTTAACTTGAACCTTCAAAACCACTGTTGAAATTTGGGCCCACTGACACAGTTAGGCCAGAATTCATAATCCACAAACTCATTTAACCAAACCTTCAAGTAACTGCAGCTAAAAGATTTACCTCTGACATTTTTCAGTGATACATGCAGGAACCTTGTGAAGTAAGTAACCAGTTTTTCTGAATTTGAAATAAAAGAATCTAGAGAAAAAGAATTTACAGAGGCAAATAAAAACCATAAACCAAGATATTTTTCTTACAGATTTTATGTACCACCTCATATCTTTGTTTTACAGGTGAACTAGTCTCTGCAATAAAGTTTCAAACATTTGAGATTGTTCTTTGCATATGCATTCTTATTAAAAAATTACAAAAATTTTTGTTTAACAAAAAAATAACACAGTAAATCAGTCTGGATGCATGGCCTGTCACTGTGTACTACCTACCAACGAATTTTACTTGATTAAATCTCATTCTCAAACTTGCCCTCTATGATAGCATTACCACTGAGAAGAATGATCTACGGACAAGTCAATGACAGCTGAACAATGGGCGCGATGTCACCCACTGGATCATAGTTCCATTAAGAAATCTTCTTTATCTTTGTCAAGTGTATGAGCTCCACTTAAACAACTTCATACTTGAAGTGAACTGTTTTCCATCACTGTCTCAGAATTGTGCCATGTTAACAATAACCTTATGGTAAAAACAAACCAAAGCATGTAAACTACACAATTGCTACTGAAGTATGTCACTGCTCAGAGAACGAAAGCAAAACTACCATCTCTCTTAAAAAAAAAAAAAAATCAGTTAAGTAACAAATGAGCAACTCAGAATACGACATTCAGAGATTGCAGTTTGCGGCACATTTTTCCACAGATTAGTTGAACTGTAACCTACTTGGCCAACAGTTTCTTCAGGCAGGCATTTTAATTTTTCATGAACACATTGCTCTAATAAAGTACTTGGCATTAGTTATGGCTTTTGAATTAAAATGCATTCATGACATTAAATTTTAAAATCACTAAGCCATTAATTTTGACCAGCTTTTTTTTCCCCCCGCATAGTGTTCACAAGAATTAGCAACTAAGTGCATATTTCACTAGCAAAAGAATGAAAGCTGTACTAATAAAACTTACTTTTGCAGGTCCCTGCAGAGAATGGTAATATTTTATACACTGACTGCATATCAAATGAAAGCCATAAACAAATCTCCTGTTCTGATAAAGGCTTATTTGTCAAATATCACATAATAGTTCAACTTACAATCAAGGGCAACTTAACACACAATCTGCCATCTACATTTTCTTCTGTATTCAGAAACAAAAAAGGTTTACAGCATTACAGAACAGTTCTATAAATTGCCTAGCTCAAGCACTGACTTTAGTACCTATTTGTGAAACTATCTTGCTACAAAAATTTCCAGGTAATAACTAAATAGCTGAGCCTACTCAATTGAGGATGCTGATCTGCACTTTCTTCAGGTATGCACGTCCCTGCAGTTGCCCTACTTTAACTTACAAAAAAATCCCCCCTTTTCTGCTTTGTTCAGGGTAGCATTCAGAAAGCTCAAACAGTATAAATCATAGGGATTTTAGTTTTTAAAATAAAGTCGTTACTTCAGATATATCTACTGGCCCCTATAACCTTGCTACTAAAAGAAATAATCACCTGCCGACCATATGGGAGCCCAATAGCAGACTTCAAACCAGTTTTCATCTTGTTTCATCTCGTTCATCTTGTACTTACGAAACGGTGTAGAGTTATGACACTTAAGATGTTTAAAAGAAACAGCCAATTTGATATCCGATTCCCATGCTAGTATCATTCTACTGTTCAATAAACCACAGTCAGTGAAGTAGCTCAGCTTTAGTTACGCATTTTAATTGAGTACAATTTACACACTTTATACACCTCTAAGTAGTGCGTCAAATTTGCTCAACAATAAGAATGCAGCTCACTAAAGCAGATGTCGGATCTTCCAGCTTCCCCAGTTCTTAGTATCAGTTTTCTTTATTACTCTACATTAACTTGTAGATAAATTAAGCATAACATAAGTGTCTAAAATTCCAGCTGTGCTGCAAAATGCTGCTGTAAGGCTAAATTTTTAAGTCCAAGTAGTTTCATAATCTATGTGCAGTTATTTATGAA